TTTTTGTTTGTTTGTTTTTACCAGAAAACAGGGAGAAGCACAGAATAATGGAACTCTGCAACTGACTTTAGCAGAGACATTAGATAGTACAAGCCCAGTATAAAACCCGTAATTATATTTTATGTCACTTCTTTACAGTGGCTAGGTAATTACTGCATGTTAAATACTTTCCCTAGTATTACTGTGGCAATTTGAACTGCCAAGAGTATTCTTTACCACTAACAAAACAGGTAGAGCTGAACATGTGTGTGTGTAGAATATGGTCTGTATTGTTGTTTCCTTACTCTGTGATCCGTTTCCTGGAAGATAATTTGAGTTACAGCACTGCCTAAAGACCCTCTCCACTGGTGCATTTGTCAATACCATGTGCCTCTGGAGCAGGTTCCGTGCCCCAAACACAGGATGATGCTCTGTGTTTTTCCATCCCGTCTCATGATCCTTCAATGGGTCATGGCAAATGACCCAACAGTTTGTGGCAGCTGTTGTGTTCAAAGGATATGCAGCTTTGCTTTCCTTTTCTTTCCACATAGGAATTCAGAGAAGGGTTGCTGAGAAAAATGTGAGTCTGACACTCAAATATGACTGCTAGATAGAGTTGCTAAAGGATATTTATTAGTTCTATTTTGATCAAGCTTGATGTGGCGCTCATTTTTTTGAGGTAATGGTTTCTTCCTACTTGGGTTTTTTTGATTTTTATTTCATTAGAGGAGTTCATCCCTGGCTTTCTATTAATGCCAAATAGCATTTCAGGTTTATGAAATCTGCTGAGAATCATCCATCATGTGTTTCTTCCTTCACCACTTGCAGGAGAAGGGGAAAATTACTGCTGGAAGCCTAAATAAAAAAGTTTTACAGGATCCTTGTGAGTGTAATACCATTTTGAAAACAAGGGTTCTGTGAAATTTCAGAAAGCTGGAGAAAGACATCAAACTGACATACAGATGGATATCAATCAGGAGCACATTTGGCGTACTATTTAATTTACAGATTTTTTTTTTTTTTCCCAGATCTAGTTCATATTTTGTCCACAGAAACTCCTCACTATCTTTTGTTGTCATTTTGGTCAGAAAAAGTATTTTTTCTGACTTTACAGAAAAAAGCTGGGTTTTTTTCTTTACAAGAAGGTAATTGTGAGTCAATAAATTTAAGGTTCTGGAAAATGTTTATCTGTATAGGAGGAACAGAAGGCAGGTTGGGAACCTTTTAAGGGTGAATTTAGTGAGGTGATGCTTCATCAGCCTTGATAGCCCTGGAAATGGATGTCTATTATTAGAGGTATACACAACACTCTAAGTTTCATAGTTTTCGTTATTTTTTAAAATTTATTTTTATTGAGGGACCACCTATAGAGCTGTGATGTTTGTCCGGTTTCCGCGCTCTTATGGTCTTTGGCCTGTCTGAGGCTGCCAACAAATGTGTTAATTGCTGTGGTTCTGGTAGTGTGGACACCTGCCCAGGACAAAATGAACTGAGATCAGTAATTAATTTCAAATTTGTTGAAGATGTGCATTCCTCTTTCTTCCTCCTTCCTGTCAACAATTTAATTTTCCTTTCCATAGACTGTGCAACCTTACTGACTTCGGCAGGCTTTCCTGGATATAACCAAGACAGGTTCTTGTTGGTAGCTGAAATAAAATCATATCTTAAGGTTCAGGAATTTGCCTTGAGAATAAAATACCCTCAGGCCAGATTTAGTTTTAATTTCAGCTTTTAAAAGTACCCTTAGAGGATCATCAAGAAGTAGCCTAAGTCTAAGAAGTTTTTGCTTCCTCAGCACTTATCTGCTTGTCTGTTTTCTACACAGTTTTGTACCCTGTGACTTTAATATGCAGTTTCTGTAGAAATGATCCTTCCACTGCCATTAGTGTTGTGTGTTAGGACCAACACTGAATAAACTACCACTGAGTGGCAGAAGCATGCTTTGATGCAGTAGGATGGCATGTTTGTTTTCATTTGAATTGCTATCGATAACTTCCCTTGTCAAAAGGTAAGTTACCAACACGGTCAACAAAATCACGTAAGCCATGCTTTCTAACTGTGTTTCTTCCTCTAAGACTGTGAATGTATGCATTTCTGAGGCGGAGTTCAGTGGAGCTCAGCCATTCTAGTCTGCAGATGAGGATGCAGAACTGCTTGCTTCTGACATGCTCTTTCAGTTCCAGCTTTGGTGCTAGTTTTCTGCCTGATTACAGAAATAAGTGCTCATGACTGCAAAGCTTGAGTGCCATTCCTCCAGTAGGTCTCTTTTGGTGGAAATAAGAGACCCTGAATAAGAGACTTGAAAACAAATGCTACTGAGTGATGACACCAGGAACCTGCTAAAAAAGTAGACAATTGAACAAGTGAGAGCGCATTTTGTAAGACCCCTGAAATGCAAGAATTGTTTTTCTTTGAAGATTGTTCTTGAACTGTGCTTTAATTATTGTGCTTGAATGAATGTTTGCATTTAGATTTCAAACACAGCACAAAAGTACAGCTATTATTTGTAGAACCTCTAGATAATACACATCAAAATTGTGGAGCTAATTTGCTATGTATTTTCTTGGGCCTCTGCCTTGAAACTGTGCTGTACACCTTCTTAGCTTTCTATTAATCCTTGGTTTTAGTCAGGCTGAAAGTGCCATGAAAACAGAGGAAGACTGTGCATATTTTCTTAGTTCTCATTCCAGGCAAAACAAGGAGGTAGAAGTGAATACAGAAATATTAACCTAACTTTGTTAAAAATCAAATTGACCTGAAGTTTTGCATATTAGTCTTGAGTTTTTCTTATCTGTCTTACAGCTTGGAAATATTTTGGTCTCATTTCAACCATTCAGAATGTCAGTTTTAAATACATGTTGGTGTTATTCAGCAAAAACTGTGATTTAAGTGAGTTCACTCTTTGGGTGCTTTAGAATTCCCCAGGTGCAAATTGCAAGCAAGTTTAAGTTAAAACACAAATATTTTCCAAAGCTGTAATTTATATAGTAGGTGTTTGGTGACTCTGAGTTACTGGATGCAGTTTGGGTTGGAAAAAATCCTAGAAGCTGTGTTCTGGTTGTGCTAGCATATTGCAATGGCAAGAGAAAATAAAGAAGGGAGGAACAAAGGTCTCAACAAACCTGTCCACTGTGTGATCCTTTACCAATCTGCTTTCTTTAGAAGTGTCTCAAAGTATACTGATCCTTGGTTATGCAAATGCTTTAAAATATAGTGCTATGGAGGGAAGCAATATTAAAATACAGATCATTCATGTATTTTATATGTTGTATATATACTGCTCACCTCAGTGGCCAAGGTGAGCAGTTCTGGGGCTGCCAGCATAGAATCATAGAATCACAGAACGGTTTGGGTTGGAAGGGACCTTAAAGACCATCCAGTTCCAACCCCCCTGCCATGGGCAGGGACACCTTCCACTAGACCAGGTTGCTCAAAGCCTCATCCAGCCTGGCCTTGAAGACATCCAGGGATGGGGCATCCACAGCTTCTCTGGGCAACCTGTTCCAGTGCCTCACTACCCTCTCTGTGAAGAATTTCTTCCTGACATCTAATCTAAACCTTCCATGTTTTCAGCATGACCTGCAGGGGAGCCCCCAGCATACTGTACAGGGGGGACCTGAACTGGGGAAACCTCAGGGGAGCAGGGACCTGCCAGGAGCCTGCAGCTCATGCCATGGCAGCTGGTGAGACCTGGGGGGGTTGGCCAAGCCCCCCCAGCTATATAAGAAACCTCTGGGGAGCACTATTGACTATAGGCTGTGGCACAGCAGTTCATGTAGAAGGGTGCTGTATCTCTGTCAGCTCAACCAGGGAGCAACGGTATCTCCCCAGCAGGAAGCCATGGCCTCTCTGAACCCAGCATGACTGATGCAGCTTCCCAGAGAGAGCTCCTGTAGGGAACACGCTGCCTTCCAGGTGTCTGTCTGTCTGCAGGCTGAGCCCTACTCCGACACCAGTGCCGTCTGGCAACAGTGAGCACCACTGTGGTATGTGTGCCCAGGGAGAAGAACTCCTCAGCTTAGTGGCAGAGCTCTGGGAGGAGGTGAGTGTGTTGAGGAGTGTCAGGGAGTCTGAGATAGATGGCTGGAACTTCACCCTACCATCCCTGGGACCAGTCTGTCAGGCAGACAGGATGCTTGATAAGGAGGAGTCCCTAAACTCTCTCCATGTGGCTGAATTCAGTGGCCCAAGGGATATCATGCAATAGCGACAAGTTCCTGCCCGGCAGCAGGTACATCTCCTCCATGAGTACCCCAGCTTCCCAGTGCCCTTGCAAAAGAGGTTTGAGGCTCTGCCAGTGGAACTGAAGAGTGATGAGGACAACAGTTTGTCTGGGTTGGAGGTGTCACCAAGGTGAACTCTGCCTATGCTCTGTGTCAAAACCACTTCCATAAAGAAAAAAAGACAGGTCACTGTCACAGGAGAGCTTCTTCTGGGGGGAACAGAAGGCCCAATATGCAGTCCAGATCTACTTCTTGAAGTCTACAGCTTCCCTGGGGTGTGGGTTAAAGAGGAGAAAACTTCCTACCCTGGCATGTCCCTCAGATTATTATCCACTATTGATTTTTCATGTAGGCGGTGATGAAGTTGCAATAAGAAATCCAAGGGCAATCAAGGGAGACTTCAGGGCCTTGGGATGACTGCTTAAGGGATCAGGAATGCAAGGGGTGTTCTTCTCTATCCTTACAGTTGCAGGGAATAATGAGGGAGGAAATAGGAAGACCCAGCAGGTCAATACCTGGCTCTGAGCCTGGTGTCACTGTCAGAATTTTGGTTTTTTTCGATCAGGGGTTGGTATACACAACACCAGGCCTGATGGCAATGGGGAACGCCTGTCTTTAAGGGGAAGAAGGATCCTGGCTGGCATATGCGTAAAAAAAGTGAACAGATTGGGCACAATCCTTTTTATTGCATCTTTCATAACAACAAGATTATTTGTATTGGTCATAGGAATAATTTAGATATGCAACCTGTTATGTTTTAATGAAAAAAACTTATATTTGTCCTTTGAATTCTGATAGGAAATAGTTCTGGTTGTGTTTTTTGGTGCTGAATATGTGGTCCGATTGTGGTCTGCAGGCTGCAGAAGTAAGTATGTTGGCTTCCAGGGAAGAATACGGTTTGCCAGAAAGCCAATATCCGTTATCGGTAAGATTTATTTTTTTTTTTCCCTTAACTTTGCTATTATCATTCATTACAAAGTAAAGATGTCAACTACTGCAGAGACCATATTGCAATTCTGAACTATGCCTATCACTCAAGAACTTATTATTTCCTTTATGCACCTATGCAATGATTTCTTATTTTGGGTTGCTAGAACTGAACATTTAAAATATTACTGTGAGACATAGGCAGGTATGAACTTAAGAAAGGCAGAATTGTAAAGTGAAGGAATCTTTACTAAATCTACATGTGTAATGGGAGAAAATTGACAAGATTTTGAACACAATCCTTCCTTAGGTCTGCCTTAGAAAGCAAACATAAAGGTGAGTATAAATTGTGGAAAACATAGAAATGTGCAAAGTGTAAGTCAGGAAAAATTCCCTGGGGTAGTACTAAATTTAAGCAGTTTTAGATGGTTTGAGGGAATATTGTGGTTAGCATCTCTGGAATAGGAGAGAGTATAAGGGGAGAGGCAATGAATAGAACTTATGGAACAGTGAGGGATTAATAATAGGTGATGTTCAGACAAAATTGTAGTAGACTATAAAATCAGCATTTCTATTTTAAGCCTGTGATTTTATATAGACTCCAGTAGATCTGCAAATTGTATGTTATTCAAAAATCAACTTACCGAGTTCTAAATAGAGCTGGAAAGAGCTGATGTTTCCTTAACCATCTGTGACTTTATGAAACCTGGTGCAAAAACTCAGGAAATGGCATTCTCTATTATACTTCTTGATGTGGGCACTGAATAATGTGACGAGATACTGTATCAGTCATGGGTTATTCAAAAAGAAGTGTTTCATTCCATACAAATAAATTCTTCAGCTGTTTCTAGAGCTGATCTAGTTAAAGAGCTGATGTTTCCTTAACCATCTGTGACTTTATGAAACCTGGTGCAAAAACTCAGGAAATGGCATTCTCTATTATACTTCTTGATGTGGGCACTGAATAATGTGACGAGATACTGTATCAGTCATGGGTTATTCAAAAAGAAGTGTTTCATTCCATACAAATAAATTCTTCAGCTGTTTCTAGAGCTGATCTAGTTTAATGATCTAACCATGAAGCCTATGGGTAGCTTTTTTTCTCTTAATTGTGTTCTTAACTTCTCCTTCATTTAAGAAATGCTTCTTAAGTAGGTATATTAGAGTACACAGGTGTAGGAGAAACTTTGGTAATTCCATTTCATCTTGACAGTGGTTCTGTATATTGGTATTTTGCATCTTCTGCTATAAACATTAATACTTGTATAGCCCTTGGAAAAGATACAGTATCAGAAGGTACCAGTACAGTTTTTACACTTATCCCCTATGAATACAATATATTTAAAGTCAATATTCATTTTTACATATCACATGCAGTTGGAACTGTGTCTACACTAATCCCAATAGCTAAACTTTGGAAATACATTTGCCATGAATGATAGTATCATACTGACTCATCCTATCATTTTCAGTCAACAAGAATAAAATACAGACACTAGAAAAAGAAATTAAAGGATTAGAACAGACTGTAAAAACTAAGACATTAATTTTACTTTTGAATTAATACAGAATTCTTTATTATAAAATCAGAAAATATCAGTGAAATATCTTTGATGTAAGAGAAATTTCTTTTATGGATTTTTTTTCCACACTAAAATTCGGATTAATTCTTAGAAATTTCAACTTAGGTAGCAATTTTGAGCTTCTCTAGTTACTCTCATTCTCTTTCCTTTTTCCCCTCTCTAAATGTAAAAAAAAAAAAGAAAAAAAAAGAAAAAAAATATTTTGGTTCCAGAAAGTGATTTAGTAGTCAAGCCTAGTTATTACTTTCTTTTATAAACTTGTTTAGTTATTACCTTATTTTATAAACTTGTTTAGCATTATTGCATTCCATGCTACATAAAATAGTGTGTTAACATGCAACTTCTATAACTGGGGAAGGAAAATGTTAAGATGGAAAATATTATTTCTTCAATGTTCTTTTAAAATTTTATCTGAAATTGAAAAAGGATGCTACTTTTCTATGTCACAAATAAAAATTTTTTATTTCTTAGGTAGATTTTCTAAAGTTAGCCTAATTTTTCGCCTCTTTGCAGGCAGATTATACGTGATTATATGTTAGAAAAGACAATTCTATGAGTAAGGAACCTGTCAGGCTACATAGATTGAATTAATTCTCAGCATACCAAGATTTCCTAGAAATTTTTCTTTGTCTCTCCATGCATCTTCATTCCCTAATTCACAGAATTAGCATGTTTAAAGAGTGTACAGTGGTCATGTACTATGGCAGCAGCTGTAATAGTGATACCTTTCCTAAATATTGATTTAACACATCCATTACTTATTATTCCAGTAAGGTTAGGTTAGCAGCTAAATGATTCTGAAAATCCCAGTCTAATTAGGCTTTTATGAAAGACAGGTACGAAGCACAGGCAAAATCAAGAGAATGTTCTTTTACGACCTCTTTTATCCTTTTGTTGTTGCAGAAGCTGTCACAAAGAACCAATTTATGAAATAACTTTTGTTTCTCCTGGTTTTGTCAGCATGCAGTTTGAAAGACATAATGTGGGCATAAGTTACTGTTAGAAAGACCTGAGCACACATATGTGTGTCCATCTCGTATTGTCCCTAAGCAAAGCATAATAGAACTTTATTTATGAGCAACTTTAATCGGTTATGTATACAGCTCTGAAAAAGTATCAGAACCTGGTATGTAAACCTTACTTATGAACTGCTGATAGAACACAGAAGTTCAGTAAAAAAAAGAGTGATGTAAATGAAATTCGAATGTATGCATATAATGTGTTTAATTGGATGTAGTGTGTCCAGACTGCTGAAAACACACCTCCAAACTGAGGGCTATTTCCACCCCATGAAATACTATGGAAACTAAAAATGACTATACAAATGCAAATATTTTTACTGTTTAAAATTTTAAAAAACCAATTAATTGTTTTTAATCAAAAAGTCGAGAATCTCGTACTAGAAAGTAAACTTGTGAGAACGTTAAAAACAAGTCAGCGATTTGCTCAGAACAAGCAGTACTCTGTTAGGCTGCATTGTAGGCGTTGCTATGTGCTGTGCTGAAGTTTATGCATAACTAAGTAATATTTCACTGAGAAGCTGATTTTTAGGTGGCAGCTGTTTGGAATTCCTCGTGGATCCAGAACACAAGAGTAAGCCACAGGATCAGTGGACTAGCAGTGGACTAGGTTTTAAAATCTGTGTACTACACATGCAAAATTGCAGGGAATGTGATGTAGGTCTGTCATTTACGTATGTCTTGCACCTGTTATATAGAAGACTGTCATTTTTGTCTCTCTACACCTTGTGTTTGCAAGCATGGGAATAGGTAGAATGTTTGAGAAGGAAATTCACATATTGTCTCTAAATTATTGGAATTCAATTTTTAAAATTACCAAGGCTTCCTGATACTTTCTTATTTAAAAATTATCCTAAATACTGATAATCTAAATTCTAATGCTTGTTATAGCTGAAGAAGTTATTTAAACAAATGTTGGATCTTTATCCTGATATTTTCCATGCCGGGTGTCAGCTTCAGTTTGAGTCTTGTGGAGACATTTAGTGCAAAATGTTTAAGCTGTTCCTGAAAAAGACAATTGTGGCGATTTCTTATGGGGAAGCACTAGCACATCCACATGTTGAAACAGATACTTGATACTTAATGAGAAAATAGCTTTTTGATTATAACTGAAAATCAACTCCAAGCTGATTGACTAACAAGCCTCTAAAAAATTGGTAGCTTATTTATGTTTAAAGCGATCTGCTAGATAATGATCTTATATTCTTCAAAGATTCAAACAATTAAAATTTCAAGTTTTTCTGAGCAGTAGATCTGGAGCTTGGAGTGGAAAATTGTGATTTTTTGGTGTTGGTTTTGGGTTTATAGTGTTCTTCCTGAAACTGCCCAGGAAAGGAAAAATACCAGACTTGAATGCCAAGGTGAAGTGGTAGGGTAGGAGGGATGCACTGGGGCATAGAGACTCCGTGAAATGACAGGAGGATGGATACTGAGGTAAGGGTCTGGGAGAAGGAGGTATAAAGGGCCTGACAAGCAAGCAGGAAAAAATAGGGACTGAAAATACATGGGATTGAAAGGTAGCAGTGGGATATGCAGAAGAGTTTGAGTTTAAAATAGGACTGTTTGAACCAGTAAACTGGGATTTGTATGAGAAGCCTAAAGATTGGAAACTGGCTTGAAAAGCACAACGAGAAGAACAGGTTTTGGGAAAAAAATGAATCATCTGTACCATCTGGAACACACTCAGAAAACAGGAAAGTACAAATGAAAAATCTATGTGACTGTGACTACCTGATTGAAACAAATTTCCTAAGTGCCAGTCTTCTCCTCCTTCAGTGATGGTCATCATCTGGCTATGTATCTGTCTGATCGTTTAGTAAGAACCGTTTGCTGAAGGGCAAAGAGCTGTATTATGATGCAATGGGAATAAAACCCTCTCTAAGTTCTGAGTGTTTATTTTCATTTTCATACATGTACAATTATTGTAGTATAGTCTTTGAACTATTTGAGAGCTATTCTTGGGGCGGAATCCTGTTTCTACAGCAAAAATCAGGCTGATACAGGAAAACAATCCAAGTCAGAGAGTGAAGGATATTATTGGTTGTAGAACTGCTACAATATTTGTTGCAGCAACTATGTGGTTGTGAATGGGGCAGGGGAATGTTTAAAGGAGAAGAAAAACAAGTTTCTCTTGTTGAAGGCAACTGTTGTTGCCTCTGAAGTTGGATTCTGTCCTGCATCTTGCCTAGGCATCACACGGAAAGTCTGTGGCAGTCATTTAAATCAGTTTTCACAAGTGTGCCTCATTTTCTAGTTGTCCAAATGAAGACTTTGAAGTAAGGTTACACTGGTTCTGAGCTCTCACAGCTGCAAGTGAAGTCAGCAGGCATTGGGTTGTTTTTATTTAAGTGCTATATAATGTTAAGTGCTCTGAAGAATAAGGTACTACTTGTTTAAAACTGGCAAGGAAAATTTACCAAAACTTTTCCTCATTCTGTCTACATTTGCTACCCATTATAATGCTATCCTTTATTTTCTGGTTACAATTTAAAAGTGAAGCATTTAGATGCTCTAAAGAGGATTACCACAGAAATGCCCATGAGGAAATTAGCAAAATGTCTTCTCAGAAGAGTGTTAGAGTAGGGTTCAATAATTAAAAGCAATAGAACTGTTCACTGAACAGGGTAAGATAAAATAAGGGATGCTGGCACTGTGAAGACAATTCATCATTTCAATTGTATGATCCTGGAACTGTGTAAACTGTGGAGTTGTGGAAAAAAATGGAACTCTGGAAGCAATTATTTTTTCATAAAATTAAAGACTGCATCTCAAATAAACCAACAACTCTGATTCTTTTTAGGCAACATTCATTCTGACAGCTCCCTAAACTTTGATAGCTTGGCTTTATGTCTTAGAGACATTTTTTATCTGAGTGTATGTGTGTGTATCTGTGCATGATCCTTGTCTGTATGCCTTTCACTATGGATTGAAGCAAAGCCTTACTTTCCCCCTTAAATTAAGAGCCTTGGGCCAAAATGTGGATTCATTTCTAGGGTGTACATATGTCTTGTTTTTTTTTTTTTTTTTTTTTTTTGGCAAGCTGCCTAATCTGTCAGGATCTTTAACATTTCCATTTTTAAATTAATCATGGAAGAAACTGTAGTAATTTTTTTTTTTTTTGATGTGAAGGTTTTATGTTAACTTACTGCCCCCCCCAATTTCAGCTAACTTAATTTCTTTTTTAAAGTTCTTTCCTCAGTCTGTATTTGTTGTGTGTTTCAGTCCTTAGAGCTGACAGATAATACATTCTTTCTTTTTTTTTTAAACAGATCTAATTGTGGTAGTAGCCTCAATTATTGTTCTGAGCATAGGATCTAATGGACAGGTGTTTGCCACCTCTGCAATAAGGTATGTTCTTCTACTGACTGTAGCTCTTCACAACCACAGCGCTATATTAGATGTATATTTGATTTTGCAATTTCCGAATTAGATGTATGTGTAATTTTCCTGATATAGGAAAAGTTATTATATTGAAACATTGGACAGTGGAAGACTGTGTGCTGTTGTGCTTGGTTGCTGGTTGGGAAACAAGAGTGCAGAAACAAGGCAGGTGAAGAACGGTGTGAATGCTGAAGCCAAGAGGAAAAAAATAAAGAAACATTATGTCCTATATAAAACATCAAGCAGCTCTCTTTCCAAGACAAGAGAGTATTACAGAACATTGGTTTATTTGAGAAGTAATCCAGGCAGCACTTAACTCAGTACTTTTTGAGTGTGAGTAACTACGTTTAAAGAGTAATTATGCTTTGGTGGATTTGTTTGGCACAAGTAGCTCATACCATACATGAACCAGAACCATTTGATGTCTACCGTGTTTGTTCTGCTCGTGTCAAGTACTGCAAGCATGTTTTGGGAAGTAAAGTGGGTAAACAGAAAAAAGGAACGATAAGCAGAGTAGAGGTACTTCCCACTCCTAACAACTTGCAAGATGTGCTACATGTTCTGTTACAAGCCTCTAATTTCCAGTGCAGTCTGATCACTAGGAAGGGAGAATGTACAGTACTGTCTAAACTCTCTAACTGTGTAAACAAACAACCGTAGGGAGCTACATGTATAAAATATATTTGTGGTAACTATTACCATACAACATTAATCCTTATGTGAAGATGAAGCCTCACACAGGCAACATGAATGTGATGTATCAGCTCACATAGAAGAGGAGGGTGAATGTGAAAATTTCAAAGCTCTTCTTTAATTTAACTAGAAGTGTAGGAAGGACTTAAATGAAAAGGCCCACTGTGTGTTTATATGTGAACCCAGGTGGCTTTGGGCTCAGTGTAGTCTTTCCTGGTGTTATATTATGCAGTCACTGTCCTACAGCTCAGAATGCTTTCTGCCAGAGAAACTTAACCCCCGTGTCTTTAGTGTTGTTATTGCCCCACTGAAAAACCATCTGGGTCAGACAAGTCTTAGCCCCATCAGGTTTCCTCAGAACTGTGATGTTAGTGGCTGGTTTTGAATTAAGAAAGAATTAATCTCATATCCTTGCCTTTGCTTTTTGTTGCTTTCAAGGTATAATGTTATGGTCCTTTTTGGACCTCTCTTAAATCCCAGCAATCCTAGAAAGCATGGATGCATGCATGTGAGGTTGCTTTCTTGCAGAATGATGTTGCAGGCTACAGACCCATCAGGTATGACAGGCTGACATTTTCATCCCCGCAGCAACCACTGAGACTGACACCTCATGGCACTGCAGCGTTCTGAGTCTTACAGCCTTCTGTCCTTGCTGTTTTAAGTTCACCAAAGTGATAAAAATGGTCCTCTTTCCAACAGATTTCTTTTGTCTTTGCAGAGGAAATGGGTTGTGCATGTTCAGGGGTTGTGTATTTGGAGTTTCTCGTTTGCTTTCTTTTTTTTTTTTTTAATCTTTGTTTGTAAAATTGCCAGCCTATAACGTGCATGTCAGCACGCGGCAGTAACAGAGCCATAGCCATCTCAGATACAACAGAGACAGGAAAATAAGAACTGCTATAAGTCAAGGCATCAATTGGTGTGTCTAATAATTGTATAAGGGATCTACCTGTAATTGGCTCCCCCCTGACATAAGCAAGCAATGAGTCATTACATTATGTAAGTTTATTGGTGCTCATGTATTTGGTAGTCTTGTAATTCTTCTTGGGCTCATGTTTTATTAACAGATTTTAAGGAGATATTTAAACGTTTCCAGCTAATTAAAATTATTATCCCAATGGCATATCAAAGAAATAACAAAACATGGTGTCCATGTACCCAGTCACTGATACATGATTTGATATTCAGGATTATTGTGTGCTTACCAAAAAAATGGCAAGCATTTGATCATTTGACTGACAGGTGTGAAAGCTCAGAAAACCTGCTTTCTGAATAAAGGAAAAGTTGGGTCTTTCAGAGTACAGTATGCCTTCCCAGAGACTGAGGATGGCACCATGCTCTTTCCTGCCTGTTGGTGTAACCCAGAAAAAAACAGCCACAGTGGAGTTGAGATGAGATTGAATTAAACAAAAACAACAACAACAAAATTTTAAGGATAGCTAAAAGGAGTTAAAAATAATTTTAGTGAAAAATTTTCAGATAGATGAATTCAACATTCATCCTTCCTTGCTCTTCACTGGTTTGTTTCAGTGATAAGATGGTAAGATGATTGTAGACAAACTAAGTTCATTGTCAAAGGGTGAGTGGAATGAAGTATTTCCATTGAATAAAATTCTGCTGAAGAACCATGTGGATAATAACTTTTTTTTAATGGAATATATTTGGAGTTTATGATTCAGTTATTGTCCTTCAGTCACACAAGACTCTATCTATTTCCAGTTATATGATTTCTGTAACTTACACAAAAAAGACTTCAGTTTGATTCACATTCTGCTTTTGGCAAATAGAGAAAAAGAATTTGCTCATATTTATGTCAGCAAAACTTGAAGCAGTGGTTTTTCTTGGAAAGGAAGCAATTGAGAATTGTAATCAGGTGAAATATGCAATTTTCTTCTGAGTTTGAAAGCATAGGTTTTGATTTTTTTTTTAACTAATTTTCCTAGTCAATATTTCTGAACATATTTAAATATAATGAAATGAGATCTAAACATACGGTCCACAGAAGAGCCTCAAGTCTAAGATGCAATCCTAGCCAGCGGCAATGCTATCACAGTTCTCTAACAGAGCAGTAAGTTAGTGAGCATAGCCGACTATGTATAGGTAGAGCAGTATTGTTCTCAATCATTAGTTTTATTTGATGTCCTGTTTTTCTTACAGGGGGATCCGGTTTCTCCAGATACTTCGCATGCTTCATGTAGATCGACAGGGTGGCACCTGGAGACTATTAGGATCAGTTGTTTTCATTCATCGTCAGGTACCAACTAGATCTTTAAAGATCCCAAGCATTCTGCCATCTTTAGTATATTCTTATCATGGACTTCAAATTGTCTGATTTAAAAGAAGTTACTGTTACAAGAGAAAAGATACTTTAAAAGTCCATCATGTGTTTCTTCTTTTGAAAAGGGAACACTATTCTTTACTTCAGATGAGAGGCTAAGAGGGTATCAGACTCAGTATTTTTTTTGAAATTAACTGTTGTACTCTTTGGTGATATTCCTCAATAGAATTTATTAAATGCAGTTCTGTGGGCTGCGTTTCATATTGCAAAAACTGTCCACTGTCTTCACAGGAGATGTAATCTCAGTTTGGTTTTTCTGTGGACATGCAAATACTAGTGGAAAAGCCTTGACAGAACGAGTCAATTATTTAATTCACTCTATTTTCTCTGCCTGAATAAGGAGTTTTCTAATACATTCTATAAATAAAAATACTAACCATGCTATGGTAATATGCACGAAAAGTTACTTTTTCAAGGTTGTAGTCACAGAGGTAAACTTGGCTGTAAATAGTTGTATGTCCCTTAAAGCTTTAAAACAGTTATTCTCTCTAAAAGTTTAAGCGGGGAAAGCTTAGATGTTTTAGTGAAGACTTTTAAAGATTTCTACCTAAAGGCTTCTTTTTGGGGCTTCATTTCTTGATGAAAAGCCAACAGCTTTATGAACATAATAATAAACTTTTATCATTAGCCTTTAAATCTTACATATCACACCTAACTGTGGAGGGCTACTACTGTGTTATGAATCTTTACATCAGATTTGTAAAGGTAGTTCCTTAACCTGCTCTTTATGAGTGTAGATTTTTTCTCCAGATATTGACAAATGGTAATAGATTTCCATGCAGACATTGTTTTATTTGCTGTATAGAAACTGTTATTCTGGGTCAGAGAATGGAAGGCACTAAATCCAAAAGTTTATTTTAATATTAAAACTTATTTTGTCTCCCTTTACTTTTTTCCCCAGTTCCGTGGGAAATTTTATGTCATGATGGCCGTGCAGCATTGATCCACACCAAAGTTGCCTTTAGAAGTCTTTTAAAAGTGCTCTAGTATAAAGCCTACTTTCTTCCTGTACAAAAGGATGACTTTTAATGCTCCAAGTCTGTGTGGTCTTCATTTATTATGGTCATGTTGCCTGGCTATCTAGCTGTGACAGAGCTGGTATCCAAATACACTGTCCCAACATTTGCTAACCTTGCTGACAGAGGGGTTTGAGAAAATCTTTTCCTATGGGTGTTCAGAGTTTTAGTCAAGAATCTGGAAGTACTATCTCCAAAATATAACATTTAAGTCTTAATTGTCACAAACATAAATAAAGTCAATGATATAAAAGGTGAAAAAAAAAAAAACCAAAACAACCAAACCCTTGGAGAAGTTATGAATAAATGTGCCTGAAGTTCTGCTAATCCAAAGAAGCAATTATGATGATACTGAAAACTCTACCAATCTGTAGTACTTGCCAAAGCAGATCACCCACTAAGACATGAATGAAAAACCAAAAATCAAACACACGGTTCTATATTGACATTGGACAAGTGTAGCTGGAACCCTAGCATGGTACCAAACAGAAGGGAGAATGGAACCTTTATTCCTGTGCAGTTTCTTAAAGAAATTTTTGTTTTAAAAAAGCAAAACCAAACAAAACCACCTCAGCTGCTTTTTATTCAGTCAGAGTAAATGGTCCTCATTTATTTGTTGAGTACTCTTGCAGAAAGAATGTGACCCTAAACCCTTAAACAATGTGAGAAAATAAATTCATGTCTTTGAGACCTGTGAAAATAACAAGTACCTGGACCTCTGTGGGCCCAGCAGACCTTACTAAAGTTGTCACCAAGGATTTCCATGTGTTTGGGAATTTTACATATAGCTGTATTAGCTCACTTGGGCCCGATTTGGCTAGGATGCTCTTCTATTTTCAGTGGTTGAGCTTATACAAGTATTTCTCACCAAAAGCAACAAAACATGAGTCAATATCACATGTGGTGATGGAAAGACATGGAAAAATCATGCAGCTTACTGAAACGCTGAATTAGCCAATCCAGCTCCAGTTTGTAAGCCTCACAGTTTTAGTTATTCATCACCTTGCACTGTGAAGTCTTCTACTGTTTTGAGGAGGGAGTTACTGACAAATTGTGGATTTGGACTTTCCTTGTATTTTTCCTAACTGTTGAATTTTGTATGCTGTGTCCTTATTGTCATAGAAAATAGAAATCTAAGTTAAAAAAAAAAAAAAAAAGTGTTGACTCAAGTCTCTCAATATTCAAATTTACCTTTTTGCATATTTGCTCTTTTCTTTGTATATAAATATCTGAAAGTCCTTGCCGAAAGCAGTCATTTGTTTTGGAGTCATAGAATCACAGGATGGTTTGGGTTGGAAGGGACCTTAAAGACCATCCAGTTCCAAGCCCCTGCCATGGGCAGGGACACCTTCCACTAGACCAGGTTGCTCCAAGCCTCATCCAGCCCAGCCTTGAACACTTCCAGGGATGGGGCATCCACAACTTCGCTGGGCAACCTGTGCCACTGCCTCTCCACCCTCTCTGGGAAGAATTTCTTCCTGATACCCAATCTAAACCTCCCCACTTTCAGTTTAAACCCGTTTCCCCTTGTCCTGTCACTACAGGCCATGTAAAATGTCCACTCTCTAATGCTATCCCCTGAGAGAAAATTAAAAGAAAGCAGTGATGTTCATTCCTCAATAACATGTAAAATCTATTAATAGCTGAGATGGAAGCAACACGCCAAGTTTAACTAAAAGATTTTTGTTGATGTGGAAGGAAGTCACAAATCTACTAGAGATGAAAGCAGAGTGTTTTCTTTGTAAGCAGGCAACAAGAATTAGTCTCCATTTCTGTTGCAGTATTCTATGGATCACTGAACTTACAGTGTCAGGTGTTAAACAGTTTTGTCTTGCATTAAAAAAATATTGTGTAGGCAAACCAAAAAGTTGTGAAAAGTTAGGGAAATGCAAATAGTCAACTATAATGCAAACATAGGGAACTTTTCAGAGCAATGAAGTCATATCTACAAGTTCACAGTGTACCATTATCATTAGAGATAAAGATGAGAAAAGAACGGTGACCAGCATGGAAATCTGAACTACTGAAAGCCCAAGTTTTATTTCCTCTTTCTTCTGCCTTGTTTAGCAAACAGACATGCAAAAAGTTAAGGCTTAGATTAAAAGACTTGCCCATGGGCAATACTGAAAATGATCAAATTCATTATTTAGGTCGCTATTAATGATTAGAGAAAAACACCTACTTTGCTTTGTGCCAAGATTGCTTAAAAACTTGCTGAAGCTCAATATTAATTAGTACTCTAATATAAGGAAGAGTATGTATAGTTTCTGCTGCTGAATGTGGTTATTAGCTACCGGGGCTACGTATTCCCAGAAAGTTGTTATAAGGAAATGAAAACAAGAAAACAAGGAAACAAAATCTGAAGGAAGTTTGATGATAAAACCTGAACTTTCTCTCACAAACGGTTTAAGAGATGTGGGCAGAGTTTTATAGCAAATCTGTGAAAACCTGACACACTTTATAAGTTGAGGCAATCCTTCTTAGACAGGTTCTAATTTTAAATTTATCTTATGGGAATATTTTAATTCCTGTATTGCTTTGAATCTGAGGAAAGAAAAATAACTGTCAGGAGTATAAGAAGATGCCAATAAGGATGTAGTACTACAGTTTTTCATAATAATGATGGCTAAACATGTGCAAAGAAAATAAAGAAATAATATGTGTTAACTATTGAAGCACTGTAAACTTTAAGTAATTAAAATAAGCTATTTTCCCTCACAACTAGGTATTAGATTTTCCTGAGGGGTAGGTAAACCTCTCCTTTGATTACGATGTATGACTGTTTTCATAAGTTTTATACATTTCTGCATCGGTGACACCATGTTTTGACTTGTTTAAATGTGCAAGCCTATTTTTCCTGAAGACTCTAACTGTCATGTATCTAAGTCTCATCAGTTCTGATGCAACATTCCTATCCAAAAATCTATAGAGAAAGTGGTACATTTCAAGCAATGGATCATGCCCTAACTAAAGTCCTCCCTAACGAACTGGCCTAGCCTCGAGTTTCTGTTTCTCAGGACTGAAGTAGAGGTTACACCCACCTAACATATTTTATCTTAAAATTTCATTTTATCTTAACATGAAACTGTTAAGGTATCAATATTCAGTCTTAAGCAATCTAATTTCAGATACACAAGTTTATTGCTTAGATAGTCATAAGACATGGTTGTTATTTCTTAACTGTTATTTTAGCATACTGTTCATCGTGTGCATTTCTAAAGCTGCTTTACTATTTTTTAAATTTATTAACATTTGGTATTTTGAGCGGACAGTTAAATGGAATGATTCCCATTCACAAGACATAAAACAGGAGTTATGTCCCACCCTACATTTAGCTGTCTAAATGGTTCTGTATACATGATGGCTTCTTGAATTCCTTAGTCTGATATGAATAGAAAACAAGACACTGGACTGCTTGTTTTACTGGGAGTAAATTTCACATCTGACATACAACATTCATTTTTCTACTGTGATGAAAAGAAGCCCCTAGACATTCACAATATTTTACAATGATAGAATATATATGATATAAACCTTACGTACTTGTTTGCTTTCTCCTTTAATAGGAACTCATAACCACGTTGTACATCGGATTTTTGGGATTAATTTTTTCATCCTATTTTGTGTATCTTGCTGAGAAGGATGCAGTTGATGAGGATGGAAAGACAGGTTTCTCCAGCTATGCTGATGCCCTTTGGTGGGGTGTGGTAAGTCTTTTTCTGTTGAAGTTGTGATCTTTTTTGTATTTCTGTAGGAAAGCTTGTCAGCCTTTTCAACAGGATAGAGGTAAATATATAACAAATACAATTAAATTATTTTATCATTGAACTTCATTGTGAAAACATGATAGCAGTGTTTTAACAAAGGACGCTGAATATTTAGAAACACAAAAAGTCCACATTGAAATTCACATTTCAGAAAGAGTATAAATACCCTTCAAGACCTATACCACTTATTTTAAAGTCTACTTAATTGTCTGAAACAGGTGCATAGCTTTAAAAGTATATTCTCTTTGTGGAAGTTGGGTTAATGACTCTTTTTTTGGTCTTTATTTTTGTAAAGCTCACTCTCTTAGTAATAATTCAGACTTTGATGGAGGTTGCAGTTTCCTGGGTTTTTTGTTTGTTTGTTTGTTTTTTGTTTTTTAATGATTCCATGCTTCACTGTAAAGGTAAATAGCCCCATCTAAAGCAGCTGGCAATGCTTCACAGATTCAACTCCTTTGCATGTAAGTCATTAATCAGGGTCAGTGCAAATCTTTGGTGAAATAAAGTAAAAGATATCATTAAGAAGGAACTGGGATTATGAGACCATTGTGGTAATTATTGTGTGCATGCCCAGAGCCAGCTGAAAATGCACTAGGTAGCTGTGAACAGCATAAGAGACCAGAGTGTTTCTGCACTCCCTTCATATGGCTCTTCGTGTCATGTTTCTCACTGTGACTCACATTTTCCTTCCTTACGAGCTGTTGCATGAACCGTCTTTTCTCTTGTGGTCCTTTTTGCCTACAAGAGAACATGATATATTTTATGAGTTGGCTGTCTCATTATAACAAACCCAAGGGGATTCATCACATCAGTGTTCGTGACAGAAAAATGAGAGGACTAGAACAGATGCAGAGCCACCAACTTCCAGAGAGAGGGTTATATTTCAAGAGTGATTTGAAACACAATAAACTGGATTTGCTCTTAGATAATAGGCTTGATAAATGCCACTATGGTTATTGGGCCATAACCCAATTGTTTATCTGTATCCAAATAAACTGGTGAGTAATTCTGGGAAGACAGACAAAAAGTTCCTAATGGAGGTATGTCTGTAATCGTTAAATTGGGTGCTCCATAAGCCTCTACTTCAAGGAAGTATACAGAAATAAATCTTATATTACATGTACCCTGAGTTACCACTCTTTAAGTGGTTTAGCATACAAATCTTTTAAACATTACATTTCTGTCATTAGGTTGCCAGGTATTCATTTAATCTCCGGAGTAGCACCTATGGCTATGCAAAACAGTACAAACCAAAAAGAATCTAGTAAAAAAGAAAAACCCACTAAATGGCCAGAAATACCTGATTACCTAATGTAATGTGAAGACACGAAACCATGAACTAGCCCATACAGCAGTCGCTTGTTGAAGTCCTCAGTAGACATATGATAAAATTTTTCAGAATGTAAAACCTCATAGTTATAGACATAAGATAACCTCTAGCTAGTGGAGGAAAGGAATAAATATCCCAGAAGAACAGATTGGGCTATATTTTAAAAGCAAAAGTGTAACAATTAGAGTGTAATTGACGTTACGAAAGACAACCATGTCTACTTTAAGAAAACCAACCAATACGCAGACTCACTTATTCTGCTATTATGCGAGCAGTTCAACTCAAACCAGTGTTCAAACGACTGAATGCAGTGGAGCACAGCTACTATTCCTCTTTTTACTAATGGTCTAGTTACTAGTAGTTTGTGAAGTACATTTAATTGAGAGTGGGCCTGCTTGTGGGGACTTCAGCAGTAGTATAAACTTATGAAAATTTGTACTAATTCAGCTAAATCTATGAGAAGTGTCTGATAAATTTTTCTAGCATAGTGAAGTCCCAGGTAGGTTTGTAGCATCTTGTGAACTGGAGTGACACCGGTGAAAGCAATGGAAAGCATGTAGTTTATTAATAAGGACATCTTAAGTTAATGTGCAATCATTAAAGGATAGTGATTCATGTTTGCTCTGCACCAAATATCGGTGTTTCATAAAGTATTTCCCAGGCCTGTAACTGAAAAGGCCAGAAATTCCCAGATTCAGACCTGAATGGGAGGGAGGAAGAACCCCTTATTGAACTGAGGGGATAAAGGTGCAGTGGAAAACAAAAAAGGATTTTCAGCAATAAGCTTGGGAACTAGCTATGTTTTTTTTAGCATCCAGTTCTGCCCATGTGTGGGTTATGCCTGCATGGGTTTTATGCCTATGCATGGGTTATGCCTGCATGGAATAAAACTTCCATGTGAAGCCATTGTACTTTTTCTACCTTTCCTTTTCTTTTATATTTTTTAGCTCAAGTTATCCAGAGGTTGCTTTATGAGTTGCATTGAAGGTATAGATACAGATTAAAAGATATTTTTAAATGCTAGAAGTTTCAGCCTTAATTGAAGCAAAGAGTAAAAAATGAAGGCCAAGGAAGTCTGGATATGTTCATAGAAGCATAGTTTGTTAATATTTTGGTCTTCAAGAATTTAAACAGGGTTTAGTTATGAAGGCCAATCAGTAAGTTTAAAATGTGTGTTACTTTACCTTGTGGATAGAGGTGGCTTGAAGACTGTATTTCAACGTGTATGTATGTGTCTTGCAAAGTGTTCAATGTGTTTGGTTGCTGTTTTCCAAAACTTGACTTTTTTTGTGTAATACTAAGATAAGATCAGCTTTGTCTTTCTCTAGCTGTGTGAGGCACATGAAGAACACTGTTGAAATTGTTTAAGCTTTTCAGACGTCTAGGCCTCCTCAGCATTAGTGAGTCACGGTGCAGGTGCAGTTCACAGCTGGGAACAGGGACAAAGGACGGAGTGAATCATTTCTTTTTCTTTTCAAATCTTCTGTAACATAGAAACACAGATGTGGAGTTTCTAGGGAGTGAAATTTGATTTCACTTTTGCCTTTCAAAACTGAAGCATAGGAAAAAAGTCTTGGTAGCAAGTATTTGAAAGTCTTGTGTCTGACAAAAACCACAGAGTGTATTAGGAGTAACAATTTGCTTTGAGTAGAAAGTGCAAGCTTGCTGAACTTGATACAAATGACCTGAAAGGTTTAAATATGAAGAAAAGGGAAAATAAAGAATGAATGTGAGTCGGAATTAAATGCTAACTACATTCACCTGCTCCAGTTAAATGCAAGGTTGTTTCACCTAGATTTGGCAGGCACACGGATTAAACTGCAAAGACTTATCAAAGGCTTGTATTATTTTATATGAAGCCACTCTCAGAAATTATAGCATATTAGAACAAAGGCAAAAGCGTTTCCAACAGCACTGTCAGTCTGCTAAAATTACAACCCATGTCACAGCAGTTTTTCTGTCTCTTCTGGGTATTTTTTTCTGTAGGAAAGAAGAAAGACATGTAGGAAGCTTTGCTTCTGTTGGCCCTTCCATGCCTGTCTCTTGCTGTTGGTAATGCTTATTGGTTTTCCTGCAAACTGTACTATTCTATACCTTTGAACTTGAGTTAAATCCTCAATTCAGTAAATTGGTGTTAACTGGTAGAGGTACTTGGGATCAATTGCTCAGGATTTTCAGTAGTAAATTTCCATGTCAGAGGTAGCAGTTTGAGCCCCTTTATATTTAATGTTTTTTGAGGTGTGAAGTTCTGACTCTTCAGACTTCAAGACACCTGCCTATCTTAAAGCATATGAGAAACGCTGTTGACAGCTATTAAATTAGAGTTCTTCCTTTTTTGAAGTGTACATATATGTTTTCAGAGTCTGTTAGAGCATGTGCATACCAGCTGGAATGTGGCATAGTAAATCTGTATTATGCAGGAGGTGTCATTTTCCAAGGCTTAGTTATTAGACATTCTCTGAGCAGATAACTAATAACTTTTGGATATACAAGTTGAAAAAGATTCTGGTTGTGATTAAGAAAGCCACAGTATTACACTGTTTATAATCCTTTCCACATACTTCAATGCACTAATTAGATTACCAAGAAGTAACCCTCTTAAGGTAGCCAGGGAGAAACTTTTCTAAAATATGTTCAGGCACCTGCAGGAATCTGCCAGCCAAATGCCTGCTGTAGAGATGGAAAATCAGCTTTTTTGTGGTTACAGGTTTCATGCTGTCTTCCACAGTAACGTTAAGGCAGCTCATACTGCTGTTTGTTTTTAAGTCCCGAGTACTGGAGAACTCAAAAAAAAAAAAAAACCCCACTCCAAACAAACCAAAAGCCCAACCCACAAAAAACCAAGAAGCCTTTCATAAGAAAAAGGAGAGGAAAAGGAAGGAAAAATCCCATATTTTAAGGGGTCATCTGGGTGCACTGGGGAGGTGAAGTGCTGTTAAAGAAACACTGCTTTAACTTCCTCCACTCCCCACTAACACATACTGCATTTCAAAGTTGAATTTTGGGGGGTCTGGTTTAATTTTGGGGGCTGGCAAACACATCTGTTTGCCAGCACCTGAATCACTTCATGGGGAAGCCACATTAAATTTAGACAAACACCTGGCAAGACAGAGCTCCTGCTGAGAGGGGTTTGCAGTTCAAAATAACAATATTCATTAGAGGATGTAGATACTACAAAGTTGACTTTATCAAGTGAGAAATTCAGGATGAATAAACACAAGAATTTTTTTTTTTGGAACATGGAAAACCTTAGCTTGATAGTAGTTGGTAATTTTTTCCCCTGAAAATCTTTCTTCCAGTTCCCTGTAGAACTGCTCTGAGAAGAGGAGGAAATATATGCTCCCCATGTTTTTATTGCCAATAGTTTCTTATGAGAAGCCTATTTTTGCATAATATCTAAGTATGTGTCAGCAGCTTTTCCCATAAAAGGCAGTATTCCACGTCCTTTTTTGTAGTCAGTGTAAATTTACATATTCTTTTAAGCCTCTTTTGGCTGTATTTCTGCTACCATTCAAGGCAAAGTGAAGGAGGGGGGACTGGGTTTAGGGCTAGTGCTCCTAAATAGAAGTATGATTATTCTATTTATAGCTCTCCCCAGCTTTTGTTATTGGTGACAGAATTCTTCATTTCCTTACCAGAAGCTTCCCACTTCTCAGGGAGGCAAGTCATCTTTCTCATACCACTTTATGGCAGTATCAGGGCTCATGAGGATGCTTTAATAGCTCTAACCAGCCACACCTCAAGCTACCCCCGACACTGAAGGCCCGGGGCCCCTATTTAGGCTTAGCCCTGGGTACTTATTTCCTGCCCCAGCTATGCTGGAGGAGACCTGGTCTCCAGCTCAGCCATGGTCTGATGATCTGGAGTTAGCCTATGGGCTGACTTCCATACTCGACCTCACACTCACCCCATCACATTGCTGTGTGATTTAGACTCTGTTGGACATGGTCACTGCCCATGAGTCTATCCTGCTGTGGGGCTGACCCAGGCTGGGGAGGCCCCCTGTATAGCCAGCTGTGGGATTACCTTAGCTTGCCATCCATCATTGGGATCACCTTCTGTTGGGGAGCAGCTGGCCCTTATTACACTACAAACCCTTCTGATGAACCAGCATTCACCTGGACTCTGATCCCCCCACAGCACCAACCCTTTGCTGACCGTGGAGTTCCTAATAAATTCTCTTCCAGCCTGCTGGGGCTCATCAGGAGCAGCCTAAACCCTCTGTCCTACTTAGGTCCTCCCTGTCTCTGTGGCTTTTCAGGGGTGGCCTGACACCCCCACAGTGACTTAGTCCCTCCACAGCAAGTCCCTGTTGATCCAAGACCTGTGCAAGGACTTGCCCTGCTGAGAGGCCAAGGCTATTGTTATGGCCCTGAAGGCACTTATTGGCCTAATGACCCTGACCAGCATCCAGTGTGGTCTCCACCCACCCTGGGGGATTCTACTTAAGCTCAGCACTACTAAATGAGGTGAGCTCTCTAGCTTAATTGTGCTTATGGTGTCTCTTGGTGTTAGCCTGTTGTCCTGGTTTTGTGTTATCTGTGTAGACCTATATATTATCTGCTGAATCTGATACAAATCCTGACCTTTGGGTGGACTTCCTGGCTTGATGATGGACCTGCCTTATTGCTGTGATAGCACTTTATAATCTGGATCCTGGTTGGACCTGGTTGCTCTTTCTGGATCTGTTTTGTTTGGGTGCTGTGGGACTGGGTCCTGGTTGGGGAAGTGCTGCTCTACTGGCCACATTATTTCCCTTGGTGCTGGGCTTCTTGTCCCTTAGGGAGTATCTGGCCTTTGCTGCACCTTGATAAACAATGAGCAGATTCAGGTATAGTACTGTGATGTGTCCTATGGCTTAAGCACAATTTTGTGTGGTGAAGAACTGTATTTGTGGGGGAAGAAAAAACAGAGGAGCATAGAGCTCTGCTGTATTTAGCTCTCAGTCTACTGGCATATTTACTTTAGGAGATAACATGTCCTGGTGTGGTTGTGTTCCCTCTCTTGCTATGAAGATTCAGCTGGGATGGTGTTAGGTCTGTCCCTTTTTCTTCCTGCCTGCACAAAGCATAGTTTATCCTGCTGCAGCTAATTTCTCTGTCCGATGGCAGTGTTTGGTACATGTCTGTGCATTGGTTGTGTGTGAATCGGTGCTTTCAAGGTTTTTTTCTCAACCCTGTGGAACTATAAGAGCAAACACAGAAAAACTTCAAGCCTATGGTTTCAAGCTCATAGGAACAATCCTTGCAGTTTTGGGAGTGTGGAATCATCCAGCTACAAACTGTGGGAACAGTCATTCTGGGTCTGGACTATTGTTGCATCTTAAACAGTGGCGAGTCGTGAATGCCTGACGGAGAATGTAAAACTGGGATGAATCTGCAGTGATGTGTAGTGTGCTCCTGTGGTTTCCCTGTGCACAAATCCAAACATGGTTGATGCATATGTATCTCCTGATACTTCTCTACCTCTTTTTTTTTCTTTTTTTTTTTTTTCCTCCCCTGCTCTTGGGGAAAAAAGGTACTACATTGCAGTAAATCAGATGTTTATTTCTGGCCTAGGTAACGGTCACAACAATTGGTTATGGAGACAAAGTTCCCCAGACATGGATTGGGAAGACAATAGCTTCCTGTTTTTCAGTATTTGCTATATCTTTCTTTGCTCTTCCAGCGGTAAGTAGAACTGGGACCACTTTATTAAGTGTGTTTAAATTGGGCTCACAATTAGCCAGTTTTAAATTGGTGCCTTTGATAGGAAATAATGGGTTTGGGTGCACACACATATCTTCAAGTGTATGTTTGTGCGTCTGTGCACGCGCACAGAAACTCCTGTATCTTTACTACAGTCGTTTTAGAGTGATGTGGCCTAGAAAGGAAGTAAGAATAACTTTCACTGTTAATTCTGTGAAGTAAAGAGAAGGTTTTATCAGCATGTTGCTCTGAGTTGAAACTTACTTAATTTCTGTGGTTTTGTGATTATGTAAGAAAAATGTATAATTTAATAATTTAATTCTTTCTCGGCAGAGAGAGTTGGGCTTCTTCAGCCTGGAGAAGAGAAGGCTCCGGGGAGACCTTGTAGCACCTTCAAGTGCCTGAAGGGGCTACAAGAAAGCTGGGGGGATGTTTTACAGGGGCCTGTAGTGATGAGTAATGGGTTTAAACTGAAAGAGGGGAGATCTAGATTGGACATCAGGAAAAACTCATCATGGAGAGGGTGGTGAGGCACTGGAACAGGTTGCCCAGAGAATCTGTGAATATGCCACTGCTGGAATTGCTCAAGACTAGGCTGGATGAGGCTTTAAGCAATGGAAATACTGGAGTGTGTTTCTGCCCATGGTATGGTGTTGGAATTAGATTCCTTAATGCTCCTCCTAACCTAAAGCATTCTATAATTTGGGGTCCTGTGAGGAGAGGAACACTACTAGGAAGCAGGGGTTTAGGACACCGCATCTGGTTTCCTAGATGGTACTATAAAGTATCTTTGGGCTTTTGGGATCTTCAACTAAATTAATGAGAGGCAAATAAAGCCATCATCACCATAACAATTAGAAAAAACCACAAATTATTTCTACAGTAAGTATAACTTCTAACAAAAACGTTGAAATTGTATAGTGCATCTTTGGCTTTTCTTCTCAATTTGCCTGGAAAATCAACCTGGGTTCTAGCTATAGTTGTAGGGGGTTTGTGGCAAGGAATTGACACAAGTGCAAAGAATATCTGTAGGTCAGTCATGTGATGATGGTATTTGCTTCTCCCACTGTTGTGTAGGGTTTCCTTTGGAACGCAAATGCCTCTGACTAATGTTACCTGTAGATCACAGCAATAACCACCTGCTGTTTATTGAAGCTACATGATGCCAATATCAACGTTCTCAATTTCAGATTTATTGCTGGAATAATAGAATTCTGTCAGTGTGGACCTTTGAAAATTCAGAGGTTTAATTAACTAGGAATGTATTTTTATAAAAAATCTGTTTATTTTATATGCTAAGTATTTAGGCATGTGAAGCCATATTGAAATATAACTAGTAATTTTGTTTATATTTAGGGAATTTTGGGGTCTGGTTTTGCCCTGAAAGTACAGCAAAAGCAACGTCAGAAGCATTTCAACAGACAAATCCCAGCTGCAGCTTCTCTAATTCAGGTAAGTCCCCTGACAGTAAAGCACTTTGGAGAGTATTGAGAAAATAAGGATCCTACTAGCTAAAGTACTGAAAATCAGTTACTGGACTTAATAATAAATCTATAACTTGTGTTTAACCACTTTGACTTTTTGGTCTACTTCAGTCACTAGAGAGAATGAGGTAATTCCCTGTGCCCCTTTGTATGAGTGAGCATAAGAGGCTTTACTAATCTTATATTCACAGGCATAATGATACTAACTAGATGCAACAAGTCTGTTTGGTGAAATAGTTTTTTTTTAAAAAAAAAAGCCTCTCAATCTTTAATTCCTACCTATAAACTTTAGTTCTTAACTTCTTTCTTTATATTTTTGTCCTGTGCATCTGCCAGACCTTGAGGTGATGAATGTGTATATGTGTATACACACACCTCAGTTCAGAAAAATGCCCCAGCATAGCAGACTATATGATAAAGAATGTAACAGTATGGTGCACAATTACTAAAAATGTGGCACACTGCAGAAAAAGGAAACTAGAAGTATTCAATGATGCTTGTGGGGTCTCACTTTTATGAAGGCTGTCTGATTTTTGTGTGTTTGGGTTTGTTTTTTTTTTTTTGTGGGCAGGGTTAGATCCCAGCCCCTAGGGAAAATGTTATACTCCGCACACCACGTTACATAGTTAGTATGTCTACTGGTGCAAATCACACTCGCCAGTTATACTGGGGAGAGTGTATTTTATCAGGCATGGTCTGGTACAGCACATTGATTGCAGTCAGGACCCTTTGTGGCATGTTTACATTAGTCGAAGATTTTGCTGTTGGTTTGATTTGCAGCAAAATCTGACTTGTCTGTCCTGCAGGACAACAGTGACTACTTATTCACTGATATTATTTGGTCTGGGTTTTATTATAGACTCTGTGGCGGTGCTATGCAGCAGAGAAATCCTGCAGTTCTACAGCAACATGGAAGATCTACGTTACATCACCAGTGCAAAATCCCAAAAAACCACCAGCGCCATCTAGCCCTAGTCTGAGAAAACAAGTAAGGCAGAGTTGGCAGAGCTCTATTCTGTTCTTGCTTTCAGTTTAATTGGGATAATTTGCCAAAATACTCATGAAGTCTCCAAAGAATTTGGAGAGCTGAAAGGCATTTGCAATAGGACATTTCATTGTTTTCATCATGCCACAGCATTATGAGTTTAATTTTCCTTAAAATATCCCTGAGGGACAAATATCCTCTGATTATAAAAATTTGCCATGGTGATCAGACAGGTGCCAATTCTTCTTTTCTTTGTCCCCTTGAAGTCTCCTATACTTTCTCAAAGGGTAGCGTAAGTCAATGATGACATGTTCCCATTTTGCATAGTAGTTCATACAGGAAGAATGGAGAAAGCTGTTCACATTCAACATGTGGCTGACAGATACTATACTCGTTTAAGTATTTTTTCCATGGCATTTGTGTTGGGGGCTGTGTGTAGAAATTTGGGCAAATACCTGAGCTGTTTCTGCAGTAAAGTGGAATAGTGTTTGTCTTCATAGGTGGGCTTACCTAAAGAGTTATGTAGTTTTAGCAGCAAGCTTGCCTAGCCTTCAGCACCTCTTCTGGAAAGGCCCAGGTCTCCAGCAGGTCTGGATCAGATACCCAGGGTTTCTAAAGTGATGATAGATGCCCGGTTTTAGGTAGTGAAATCCCAATGATGCCTGTTGTCCAACAGAAATTGTAGTATGACTTCCCTATGGCACAAGTCCGTGAGCGCCTGCCATGAGCCTGCCATAGTACTCTGTAAGTAGAAAGCTGTATCAGCATGATCAGTGTGCCTGTGTATGTTTTGGTGTTACAGCAGCGGATCCTACTCAGTGTTGAGTAGAGTGTGGCTATGCCACGAGATGTTCCTCCTCAACTGGAGGCAGAAAAAATAGGAAGAAAGGGGTAAGACAGGGTAGTATGTATTGCTGAACAGCAAGCAATCCATAGTGGGAAAGCTGGAAAAAATAAGCAGTTTTTATGGCCCTTAGTGTGTTCCCTCTGTTCTCTCTAGTAGGAGGGATTTTCCTAATACATTATTAAACTTGAACTTCCCTGTGACCTGCTAACCCTAATTCAAGAACATAGTAATGGTTCTTTCATCTCTTACCAATGGGTCATCTTCTCTTGTCAAAGGAAACTAGTTCCTTCTTTCTCTACCTAGCTTTTTATTTTGAGGACTTCAATGTATATTGATGTTGTGTATCTTGTAGCATTTTGTTCCTCAGAGAATTCCTAGTCGCTTTTCCTGCTATGAGAACCCACAATATTTGCTCTTAGAAGCACTTTGATGCATGGTAGTACATCTGCTGTCCACAAGAAACGTCCATTTCTAACAATTTCTGTGCCCAGTTTGATTAATTTTGAACATGCTTTTGTTCTGCTGCAGAGCTGAACAGAAGAATGAATTCCAAAAGACTGAATGCAGAGCATAAAATAAGAATTAGTTCACTTAAGTACTATTGTCCCATTTATGAATATAATGAGCCTGCAGCTGTTTGATATGTACAAATGCTTGTTTTATTTTTGTGATGCTTATATCCACTAACTCCTCAGTAGTCACAGGCAAGAGTATTTTGCAGAATTGAGTGCAGTAGCCCAAGATCTCAGTTCCCTCTTGAGGTTACTGGATCATCAGACAAATGAAACTATGCCTCTTACCCACACACCTGAAAACAGAGGTAGTAGAACAGGTGGGACTAGAGCTAAAGGGTAGGTAGTCAAAAAGTCTGGAAATAAATGCTATGTTATGAGAAGTAGTATTTATATAGCTAGGTGGTGGCAGCATCCAGGAGGCAGAGAGCACAGGCCATATATTCAGTGTATATCTGAGTGGCTGTTACGTCGGTTGCTTCTAGTCACAAAGGCAGGTGGAGACCAGTCTTCCTTGGAACCACTTGAATCCAAAACTTTATTTTTTTGTTCTTATGTACCAATTGTAGGGTGCTCATTAAGTTGCTTCTTGAAGCTTCTAAAATCAGGAGAACTTCAACTTTGGAGGAAGGTTTTATATTCTCCTGATGTACCCAATTCATTCTTTTTGGTAATAGGTGAAATTTTCTTCAGTGGAAAAGGCTATGCAGTGCCTAGTTCATAATTCAAAGTCTATGGTTATGTTTAATTAGAGCTTGAGAAAGATGTTAAAGCCAAGCTGTTGTATACTCAAGTGATTAGTATTTTGGCTGCCTTGAGTTTTGGACCCAGTTTCAGAAATTTTATTTGAGACCTGACTTTCTGAGTGTGGTAGGTATCTTCTCTTGAGAATCAAATTCTTACCAGATTTAAGTTGGTAAATCAGAATCAGCCACTTCGAAAACATTAACCAAGGTTGTAACACTTCCACTGAATTTCAATTCCGTTCTTTAAAAAAACAAACAAACAAAAACCCAACCCCAAACCCTACTGAAATGAATTTAATTTTCTGGTTTGGATAGTACCTTCTGACATCCCATTTCTACTCTCACAGGCTAGAAGATACAAAAGAAAAGGGAAACTGGGCTGTGGTAATGGTTCTACACCTGTAATAAACCCGGGAGAGAATTCCTTGTCTATTCCACAGATCACTTATGATCACACTGAACAAGAAGACAAAGAAGTGACTTTCTACATTGATGAACCAGGAGGTAATTTATTTATGTTCTAACATTTTTTTTAGGAGACAATGTTAAAGTGAATTGAACTGACCAAGGGAACATTTCTGTGAAAAAATAACTTTAATCAGTAAAGCAAGTTGCCTCAAACTAAGGACATAACAAAAAACTAGGGGAACACAAATTAAACGTGATCTTCTAGATTCATGTGTTATGACCATCAAAAGTACTTTCTTTGCTTCATTTAAAATATTGTGTGTTGGTATAAGTGGCTGTTGTATTTCACCCTGGAAACTGGCTGAATTTCACTGCTAAGCTAAGGTACTGCTTTGTTTGTAAAATTTTTTTATTTAAGTTTTTAGAGGAAATACGGCTATAATATAGTACTGTTTGCTATAAACTGAGTGTTTTTTGAAAGTAATTTATCAACCTTTGGTTATTTCTTTTGTCTGATGGGGTTGGGGAGACGAGTTAGCCCTGGTTCTGCCAAACCTTTAGCTTAAGGGGAGATTATTTCCTCCTAGTCTGAGGAGAGATGCTCCATACCTAGAGGCATGCAAAGCCTTGCCAAGTGAACTGAGGTATCCAAAGACGCTGGCCCTAGTCAAAGGTATGTTATTGTGTGGTGTTTTGACTTAAGTTTTCATCCGCCTGATAAACCTGAACATCAACTCTGTGTAAAACTGCTGCTCTTATGGGGCACTGAAGCTGACACACAGTTTCAGCCTGGAGAGAGAGTGTGGCTGTTGTCTTGACTTGATGGTCTCCTTAATAAAAAGTACTTTAAATATTTTTGCCCCCAGAGGGAATATGTAGTGTCTTTTGTACTGAACACAATCCAAGGTAGGGATTTCCCTGGGTTGCTCCGAGTTTAGTGTTGCTAGATTGTATGGTCAATCCAACCTATGTCATCTAGGCCAGAGCAGACAGCCAGATGTGGAATAGCAGGGATCTGATCGCTCTGGCACATGGAGGCACATCTGTAAGGGGTAGGAGCATCTAACTCCCACAGATTTAAAGGCCTTCAAGTCTCTGCTTCATGCAACTGATAGCTATGAGTTGTCATTGTGGAAGGAAGGGTTTTGTTTGCTGATGGAGGCTTTCATTGCCTCTCATGTTATTCCTTATGTTTTATAACCTTATATAAGAAGTCTTGTATCTGTCAGCGGTCAGAATGGTTGTCGACCATAGTAGTATTTTAATTATTGCTTGGCATTTCCAGTGCTATTATAGGGTTCTGGGAAAGGGGACGAAGGGTGTGATTTATTAAGTTGCTGGTTTAACTACATGTCTATTAAACATGCTGAGAATGAACATAATATGCTGTTGTTAGAGCTGCGCAGCTTCCCTTGCTGCCCGTGTAATAGCAGATTTTGCAGAGTGTATTTCGGTATTGTGATACCAGTTGGTGACGCGCAGAAGCAGCAGGGTGTTGTGCAACTTGTACTAAAGACAGTTGAGATCTGTATTTGTGACTGCCAGCATACATTTATTCACTTAATTTATGCTCCTGAAATGCTCACAATTAGGCTGAGCAAAGCTGTGTGCATCTCAGGAAAGACAAGCCTGTATCTTTTTCTGCTTGATAGCTTGGTAACAGGAAAATGGAAAGATTTTTTCCACTTTTTCTGAAAAAGTTTTCTTGTGTACTTTTATTATAGCTCATCTAATCTACTATTGTTCTCAGATAGCTGCGCATATTATTCCCTTACCAATTAAATTTTATCTATTTTTCATTTTCTTTCACGTTCTGCCTTAGCCAGTGTCAGGGGTAAGTCACACTTCATTTGATTTTCTGATTCATTCCTTCTGCTGCAAAGCTTCCAGGAATGTATTTGGCTAACTCAGTTGCTCAATTGACTTGAACGTTCTTGACACCTTTCAAAACTTTAAACCTGATTTCTCTCAGTGAAGTTCTCCTTGCCAGATTTAATAGGTTTCTAGTCTTGCAAAGCGGAAGTACTAGGCTTCAAGCCTGTAAATGGGGCTTTTTTTTTCCTCTCTCAAAGCTGAAACAAGAAAAGGCAAAGAAAACAACAATAAGAAAAGGCAGTTGAAGAGGGCCATGCCAGCTTCTATTTCAGTGTTGCTATAGTGGAATATTTTATTCATTGGTTGTGGGGGCTGAATGTTTACAGATGATGGCAAACTCTGAGGCTAAATTAGATCACGTGTAGGCCTGACCTATGAAGAGCAGAGCTGTTGCTTTAAAACAGCTCTTCCAGCCTGATGCTCTGGTCAGATGTGACAAAGAGAGTAGGGAGGTCTGAAAGAGAAGCCTAGCAAGTGCAGGTGACAGAATAACAGACCCACTAAGAAAATTCCTTCTTCTGGGCAGAAATGGACTGAAAAGAAGTTAAAATTACCTTAAAGGATTCACCTTAATTCAGGAAATGCATTGTGTGAGCACAGCTTTTTTGTTAGTGAAAATAAGGTTTTACCTGAGATATCATGTTCATGTGTCCATGTCTACCCAACATCCTCTTGGCTTGCTCAAAAGTTGCTTAGGAGGTGTATCTTTCAAAGCTAGGCAAAAATGCTTTTCTATATGAAGAAGGCTTGAGAAAAAGGAAGTCTTATTAAGTCGATAGGCATGACCAACATTAAGGTTTGAGGTACTTGTATGTGTAAGAAAAACATGTATTGGATAGCATATAATGTAGAAACCTAATCTTTGCATACCTTAAATGATGGAGTCTTGAAAGAAACGTATGATAATCTAAAAGGAAAACAGTTCCTGACTTAGTTCTGCACCATGCATAGGATTTTGGGTATGATTGACTTAGTGCTCTGCAACCCTAAGAATCTGACCATCCTTGAAAAATAGAAAGACAAAAAGTATTCCGCAGTAATAGCTTCCTGGTTTGAAGTCAAACCTCTCAAAATGAGGCAGCAATTTAGAAAGAAACTTGAAAAGGAACAGCTAAAGCAAATATGTGTTTAAGAAAAACGATTCTGGAAAACTGTGATACTGAAGATACTTTAATGCAGTATATTCTTTTCATGGGTATTTATTGCTTCTACTGGGTAACTCTTTCATACTAGGGTGTATGGTTTAATTTTTTCATATAGTGATTTAAAAACCCCAGTGATTTTGTAGCCATAATTGTTCTATGTAGTCTTGAAAATGTTCTTTACCTGTATTTCTATCAACCACTGTGTACATACTCCCCAGCAGCAGGGCCTGTTATCAGGATGACAAGGTATGTATGAACTCTCTGGCATCTTTTAATGTTCCTGTAAGGTTTAAAGAAGGCACTTTAGTGTCAAATAATAATTACTTATGGTAGCAAGAGTGAGTGGCAGGCCATAGAGAGTGATCCAAATAGCAGAAAAACAAATAACATTTGTGTGTAACTGAAATCTTACACGTGCTTGAGTTTCATCCTCGAATAACAGCTATTGTTTGCAACATATGCTTTTCAAAATGAACTGAATAGCTGTTTCATGATGCTTTATATTAAGGAGGGAAAAAAATAATAAAAATGTGAAAGTTTTTGGACCTTGACATTCAGCCTCCTGGGACATTTCCAGGAGATGGAATGTGTTACTCTGTCAGTTATTGTAGGTTGTATATACAACTCATTATTGTAAAATTTGTCAAAGTCACAACTCTCACAGTGATAAATCTCTGTTGGGATAAACCCAAATTTCCCTATTTATCATTGTGATTTTCTGGTTGCTTTTTAGTTTCTTGCATGGTGACATAAATTCCCCCACTGCTGCCCTGTATCTTAAGGGAAAACTGCACAAGAGTAACTTTTCATTAGGAGGGAGGAGAGAACTGTAATTTTTTTGACTCCCAGAATACATTTGTAAGCCCTCTTATAAAGTGTGCAATAGTGTTCATGTTGATTTATTCTGTCTGTAATGCTAGTTTGGATGCTGACATTTCAGAATTCACCTGTCTAGTAATGGGTTGACTTGAAACTGGTTGCATTTCTACTGGAGGGAAGGGGGGAAAGGCTGCTTTCCCTCACTGGTATAGATGGATTACAATCTGCTGTACATATAAAGAAGCAAACATTTTAAATGAAGTGGATTCTATGATTCTGGTGCTGACAAGCTGAGTGAAAGGTGAAAAAAACCCATGTGGCTAAAATGAACAGAATAAAGCAAACACCAGAGCTTTTGAGGGTCTGCATAACTGTCAGTAAGTTAGAAAAGCATAAATATAAATATATGCTCCAAATTAGCAAGAGAAATTATCCAGATACCATGCTTCTGAAAAATATCATGCTCTTAAGAAGGTGAGTTTAACAGATGCTGGTGGTTTTGCCATGAGAAACTATATTCAGCATAGGGCTGTTTAACCTCTAAATCTGTCAGTGGGTTCAGGACCTGTAGGTACTAATAGTACTTGCCTGTGAGTAAGAATTGTGGAAACATACCTTTATGCCTCTACCAAGAAGTTTTCAGCCTTTGCTGTTTAAGCCCTGGCTGTCTTGAGTAAGAACTTCCAGTGAATTGTGAGGTTTATCATGTATGACCAGAGTGGATGGTAGGACTGGGTGGGGGCAGTGGGTAGTGTAAGGGGAGTTGAGGCTGAGAGAAAGAGAGCAGCTGCCTCTGCCAAAGTCACTCTTACTTCTGATTAAATCTGGCAGCTTCTGGTGTTTAAAAATTTTTTTGTTCTGTGTTTATTCAACTCCCTGTTCTGCCTGATTTAGGATCAGGGTTTAGTCACACCAGGCTTGAGCAGGGACTCTGTACCAGAAGGTTGCACAGACCATAGGAGTGTATAGTGCAAGAAGGTATTTGCAACCCACTCAAACTTCTAATTAGTAATATCAGTAAAACTGAGTTGAGACGTTTTTATCCAGAAAACATTTTTGCTTCATCAAAGGCAGTACATTTAGATGAAACTTCGTTTAGTGTAAAATGTTCCAACTAACTACAGTTGTGATGCAAGACTGAATTTAGCTGTACAGTAGCAAAAGAGAAAATTTCTCTATGCTAAGGAGACTTTATGATGACGTTGGCTTAGGAGAAGCACATGGTGAATGACAAGATTGTGCTATAAGAGTTAAAAC